TACTAATACTCCCCTCAGCCAAACCTCTTAAGACTGGAGACTGTAATAAGATCTGAGCAAAACAGAACTGAGCTGCTTATGAAAAACACCAGAAACACAAGARAACTTGTAAAACATCACATAAAAATCAGTGTCGTTACAGCAAAAGCTAAATAGTTCCCTGCTTAAGTTAGTAGGTTAGTGTTAGGGGTGAAAGAGCACACATACATTTACACAAACACCCCTTCCAGAGCTCATCAGCTGGGGGTGGGGGTCTAACATCATCTCAGCATGCTGGATGAAATTCAAACTCCCTTCACAAGAATCTTTGCATCACAATGATGCAGCAGCCGCTGTGTCAAGTGTACAGATTTATGATTCACACTGCATTCATCCTTTACAGTACAGGCTTTTTTATGATGATCCTTTGATCTGTCGCCATGGCAACCCTACATTATCATTGTGCACGTATTGTGGGTCAGTTTTTCCTTTTGACCCTGCGAAGTTGAATCTCTGAACACATCAGGAAAAAAAAGCGACAGAGGATTTTTTTTTTCACAGCAGCGGAGATGATGTGCATCCCCTTAAAAAATAAAAATAAATAAATAAATAAAAACACCTCCGGTCTCCCCACGCGTTGCAGGAAATATAGCATTGATAATGTTGTGCATCTCCAAAGAGGAAATTGAGAAAAGCATCCCCCCCACTTTGTCTCTGTCCCTGCTGCACGCTGATGGAGCGCTGATGATATCCATCTTCATAAAAAGCCTTGCTGAGAAAACATTACCCGGGCTGATTTTGTTCATTCAACTTGCCTGTTGTTTGGGGCGCTCATGATAATTAACAGATGAAGGCTACAGACTGTATTAAGCTGTGTTGATTTGTTACTGTTGGGCTTTCACCAGTCGCCTACTCGCCGTCTGCAAGGCTCAGCGCCTGCTGGGGTGGGAGGCTCGTCCAAAAGTGCTGCAGTATGTAACTTTAGTGCCAAAAAAAGTATCTGCTGAAAAGTAGCTCCAGATTTCTCCCTGATGTYGTTAACTTGACTGAAATCTGATTCATGTCATCAGGGTACTGCTAAAGACTCTAATCATCTTGCTGTATTTGCGACTCTGTTGTATAATTWAATTTGTCCTTTTCTTATACTACATGTATCTGACTCATATTTTAAACATTTTAAGGTTCCAAGCTACAGGCAGGATCCATTGCAAATTTGTTGATTGTTGCATGAAAGCGGACACAAATACGTTCCAAGTGTTTCACAATGGATTCTGATTAATTTTTATAAAGACCAGATAAATCAATGAGCTCTGCACCGTTATTGCCCATCTTTTAAATGTGGTTTGCAGTGAGTCATTTAAAACAAAGTTAATTACAGATTCCGGGGTGGGGATAATGAAAAGCGGAGATTATCTGCAGCTTTTATTTATTACTATTATTATCATAATTGAAACAAAAGAACAAAACAAAGGGGGAAATGCAGTTTGGGAGGATGATGCTGATGCTTCACTTGATGATCCAACAGAAGATCTCTTTTATYGATCAGCTGCTGAGTGAGTGCTG